GAGAGAGTAATGAGTAAGAAGAATGTTGTCTTGCTACCCAAATTCTATCCATCTTCAACTTTTCCACATTCTTATTCTAATGTCGTCCTCTATTACGTAACATACATGCGTTTTTGTCAATGTTTTTTTTTTTTTTTCAAATACTTGTAGATCATTGAAGTATGTTTAAGAAATTTTTATATAGTATATAGTATATTTTATTTTCAAAATTATAATTTTATATTTTAGGAAAGCTTATTTTTAAATATATTTTTTGAATGATTTGATAATATAAAAAAATTATTTGCACAATAATATATCGGATTTGAACTCATAAATATAATATTGCAATAGTAGTTCGACTAGTGTCTAGTAGTTAGCATTTGTAAGTATAAGGTATTAATGTTTAGTAAAGAGAAATATTCCCTTATCCTATTATTCTTAAATCAAAATGTTATTTGGAGGTTCTAATTGAACATATGATAAAATATTTTCTAACAGTTTCAATTCAAATTTTAAAAAAATACTGTCATATCTCCACATTTATTATATAGATAAATTAATTATATAAAATATTTTTTATTTTTATTTTATAGATTAATATCAAATTAAAAATGACATGAGGTTTTACCGACCATCAAGGCTAATATATACAGCTATAGTAGGTGATATACCTTAAGGGGTCGTTTGGTTTGAATATGAGTTATGATGGGATAAGTTATGTTGAGATAAGTTATGTTGGGATTAGTTATGATGGGATAAGTTGTCCTGGGATTATTTCTTATTGAGTGTTTGGTTTGTTATATTCAAAATAATATATATTGATAAATTTTAAGAACAAGTTGTTTGTTTACAAAATTACCCTTCACTTTATTTAAACTTTTTAAATTTTTCTTTGTGAGCTTTAGTTATTCATTTTTTAAAATAAAACTTTTATTTTTTTTAACTTAAATATTTTTGTTTATGTATTCCCATGATAAGTACCATGTGTATTTAAAAATATAACTTTTTTCTTATTTAGCTTAAAAATAGAACTTTCCTCTTAAGTTTATTAAAGAGAAGAAAATTTATGAGAAATCAAAATAAAATAAACATAAGAATTAGTCAAATAAATTCATAAATAAAAATTATATTTATATAGTATAATTTTTTAATAGAAAAATATGTATAATTATCATAAAAATAAGGAGTAGTAAATATTATTATACATGGTATTAAAAAAAATGTAAATATACATAAATGTAAAAAATGATATATAAAAAGGATTTAAAGGGACATATTTGTCATTTACCTATTCTATCTCGGGATAAGTTATCCCGGGATTACTATACCACCCATGGGGAGGGATAACTTATCCCGGTACTAATTATTAATCCCGGGATAAGTTATCCCGGACTTGCCAACCAAACAACATAATTTTTTTTTTATCCCATCACTATTTCCTTATCCCATCATTATTATTTCTAATCCCTCACACCAAACGAGCCCTAAGTGACTAATTTATTTATTTAAAATTTAAATCAAAAGTATTTAAAAATACTTTATCAGACATTCAAGTGTTTAATCAGAATACGTCATAGTGATAAGTTTAAGTAATTAGTCTTTTTAGAATGAAGATAAGAGAAGAAGTGAAAATATATATTAAAATACCGAAAAGAACACAAATCAACTATGTTTATTTATGAACTTAAAAAAAACCGACAAATTGATTTGAGTTTTATTTTTTTATTCCTTTCGTTCATTTTTATTTTTCAATATCAAGAAAAGACAATAATTTTTTTTTTCATTTTTACCTTCAATATTAAATATTTATTTTTCAAATTATTTTCTAATACCTCTAGAAGATAATTTGATAAAATACTTATATTATTAATTATTTTCTTAACATTCTTAATAGGTGTGTAAAGTTAAACTATAACAAGTAAAAAGCAAACGGAGTAAAATGAAAACCACTCAACTAACTACATCACCCGTCTACTCTCCTCTTCCGGCCAATTGTCACCGGCGGTATTAAATTCCCGACGTCGAACGGGAAATTATGGATGGCTTTTCTTCCTCTCAGCTTAAAAGCTGCACAATCGTAAGCTCTGGCAGCATCTACGTCGGTCTCGTAAGTTCCGAGCCAAACCCGTGAGCCTTTCCGGGTCGGATCTCTTATCTCCTCTGCATATTTTTCCCATGGTCGCCTCCGATCCGAACCCCTCTATACTGCTTCTTCTTTCCTTCATTGGCCGTCGAAGATCCATAACCCGACCCGGTAATGTTTCGATCCGGGTTGGATCCGACAGAGCTGGTTGTTGGGCTTAGAATGAAGTTATCGGGTTTGTAATGAGAGGTGAAAAAGGGTAATGGGTCGTAGTGAATGAAGGAGGTGTTCGCTTATGAGTTGTAACATTAATTTCTCTTCTTCTTTGCTTGTCATACTTTTTCTATTTAATTTGTTTGGTTGAGTACAAAACTTGAACTAAGAGAGCATAGATGAGTGTTGAAGATGGAAAAGGAAGTGTCTAGAGAGGCTACCTTCCTATATATACACTCTTTCGGTTTGGATTTACTTATTAAATTTTGGTTTGACATACTATTTAGAATTGATATACCACTTGTTATGAAAGTAACTTATATAAACTCTTACCATTATACAAATGACCCGCATATATTCCTATCGAGCTCACATATATCCTTCATCTAACGGAAATGAAAAAATTAGTTTTAAATTATTTTTTTACTTTTAATTTTAAAAAAAATAATGTAAGAATATATATATATATATATATGACCCTTCCAGCAAAGTTTGAGGTATATTTCAATCTTTTATATACATAAATTATTTTTTTATTTCTTTGATTATCATTATTTGAGTTTCTTATTCTTATTTTATTTTTTTCTTTCATTCTTTTGTGTAAAGAAAACATTTTAAAACTAATTTTTTTTGGCTATATTGTAATTTAGTTTTGTATTTGTAAAACAAAAAATTGGGATATCTATAATAAATTTTACAAGAAAATTAGTGAAACATAATTTGACCATCAAAATAATAAATTTAAACTAGTCTTTGAAACATGGATTATATTATTCTAAAATAATAAATTAAGATTAATTTTTTCACTTCCGTTAGAGAAAAAGAAAATATGTGAACCATTTGTATAACTATAGGATATATATGAGTCACTTTCATAACAAGAGGTATATCAGTTCTAAATAATAAAGTTAAGGCCTTGAAAGGTATATCAATCCTTTTTCCCTTAAGAAAATAACGACTGATATACTGAGCTTATCATTGATAAGATTTGAAAAATATTTACTCATTATATTTTTAAAGACATTTACTCAATGTCAATAAATTGAGAATATATAATAAGAAAAAAAATTATCCTTTTTTTAATTCGTTAAAAATGACTAAGTAAAAATAGAAATTAAATCCAAAGGAAGGGAGTATATACAAACATGACTAGATCACTATCATGAATTCATTAATTTGTCAGTGGTCGCTAAACTTGAATATTGCATTCATATCTTTCTGACTAGTCATAATTCCTTTTTGAAATTATAATAAGTTCCTAACTGTTTAATTTATTCACCTTTCGATAATTCAAAATGTTAGACTGATACAAGAAAAGTAATTCTCCATTCATATACCATAGTATGAAAAGAATCCAATTGTCATATAGTAATATTTATTTTCATCAACACTTATTTGGTTCGGTATTCTTTTTATTATTATTTCAAGAATAGTTAGATTTGTTTAGGCAAGTGCTCAATGATAAAGAGATAAACCAATTACAATTGGCCAGTTTCTTGATAAACGTGTTTGAAATTTTGCATACCTAAATTATATCTTGAATATAATACGGATTACTTAGAATTCCACAACTTTGAAATGTAGCTTTAAAGCAATCATAGTAGTAGAAAATGTAAGTTGATGAGATCATATCAATGGCTTCATATTACGAACGGAAAATGGTCATATTTGCCCTTATACTCTTAAAAAAGGGTTATATTTATCCCTCGTCATACTTTTTTGATATATTTGCCCTTACCATCCAACTATGGATTCATATTTGCCCTTTAGTCTCCAAGGGCAAATATGAACCCATAGTTGGATGGTAAGGGCAAACATATCAAAAAAGTATGACGAGACCATTTTCTAAGAGTACAAGAGCAAATATGACCTTTTTCCGTATTATGAATGTACAAAGTTTGTGATTCTAGCACTGTTGTTGACTTGTTGGAGTATACAAAGAAAGAAATATTTGGTAAAAATTTCTATGGATACAAATAATTTGACAATGATATTAGCATCATATTTTGAAGTATGAGTGATGGTATATAAGTTTTGTCAACACATGTAAGTTGTATATTCAGGTTATCACTAGAAGTCATTATGGCTCAATCAACTGAAATTCTTGAGAATAACATTCTTTCTTAATTTCTTCTTGGAATCTATCCACGAGCACTTCATCTAGTCTCTACTTAATTGTAGGCAATAAGAATCAATAGTACCATCATATTTTTTAGGTTTCACATCCTGAATTGAATCAGAATGGTGCATGGGTGCGTATTATATAGGCTATGGAATTTTATTAATCCGATCACATTTAACTGTTGATAGTAAAGTTGTTTATTATATATATTATATGTATGAAGACTTCAGTTGGAGGTGTTTTAACTTCAAGCAGCCAAGCAAGTTTTTTGGATTGTACTAGATGTCGCCCCTTGAATCACCACTCCAACCCTCGGGTTATCCATTTATGTCCCAGTTCAAGATTTCATTATGGTTTAGGATCAACAATATTGTGCCAATTTGTTTATCAGCCATATTTTTGCTTCCAAACACAAAATTAATTATTTATAAATCTTTACTAGATTGGGGTAATAAATTTATACACGCATACATATATACTTCTTGCTGAATCTTATATACTTCCACTACATACAAAATGAATAAATCAATCCAACAGATTTTTTAACCTTAAAATACAGAGCGTAGACACACCCACGATCTTATCCATATCCTATTAAACCCACCAAATCACCTCAGACATTTTAGAGTCAGGTGCCATATATTTATCCTTCATCTACCCAATACTGACTGACATTTCAAATTAAAATTACTTTTGTGGAGTAGTTCGATTTCCGATCATCAGAAGCTGGGAACCATATGTGGAGACAGTGGCGGCACCTCAAAAATGCCTTTTTCATCTCCACCCTCCCAAATAGCCGACCAATTCGACGGTGTTAATGGTGACGCAGTAACAACGTCTCTTTCCTCTTCTATTTTCACTTCCTTCTTCATTACTAATTCCTCTGTTTCTCTCACCCTTTTATTATTATTGCTCACCGGCTGTGGAATCTCAACATCATCATCATCATCATCATTTTGGAATTGCTTAAAGTTAGCAACTTCAAGTGGGAAATTCAATATTGCTTTGCTGCCTCTAAGCTTAAACGCTGCCCTGTCATATGCCTTGGCCGCATCCACAGCAGTATCAAATGTTCCTAACCAAACCCGAGTCCCCTTTCTATTCGGGTCACGAATCTCCGCCGCAAACTTCCCCCACGGCCTTCGTCTAACTCCCCTGTAATGCTTCTTCTCACTCTCAACTTCCACTTTCTGTACAACAACAGCCTTCGCGGGTATTGCAACGTTCAGAGATGGCTTGCGTTCTTTGAAGTTACTCTGCTTCGGAGAATTTGAGCTGATAACATGTGGTTTTGCCTCAATTTCGAAAAAACCATCAAACTCTGTTTTTGAGGTTTGAGTAGTTTCAAAAGAGAAACAAGCGTTAGAGCAGTAATATTCCATGAAAGCAACATCATCATCAAGAAGATGTTCCCTAATGGAATCAAGTGAGCTACAAGTTCCTTGTGGTGATGAACCCATTTTTCTTCTTCTAATCAAACACTGTTGGAGAAAGTAATTAATGTAAACTATTTATGTTCAAATTCAAAGTTGAAGAGAAAATTGAGTGGAAAAGAGAGTGTGTGGAGGATGGGTTATAAAGAGAAGAAATGAAGAGATGAGGTTTCATAGGAGCCTTCTCAGGTGGAGAAACGAAGCATCCTGCGCTTTAATACAAAATCCTAGTCCCTCTCATAGGTTTATTGCTTCACTAAATAATAAAATAAGGGGTCGTTTGTCGTGACCCAACAAATATAAGAATAGTTATATATTAGTAATGTTGGTGTTAATTATGTTAAATTATATTTTACGTGTTATTTGATTTGATATGTTAATAATAATATGTATATAATTTTTATTAAAAAATTACCTACTTCGTTTCACTTTGTTCGTTTTATTTTATTTTTGATCTATTTTTTTCAAAAGATATTATTCGTTTGGGAACTTTTTAATTTTAACTTTTTAAATGACATTAAAATCATAAGATAGAAGAACATTTTGATACATTATACACATCTTCCGTGAAACACTACAACATTAATTTATTTTTCTTAAATGAATCATACCAAAATTAGACAAACAAAACATTTTTTTTTAAAAAAAACAGAGAAGCGGGGTTATTTATTTACAAAATATCTTCCACAAATACAGTGAAAAGAATGTGAAAAAGGATTTGAGGAAAAATTATGTGTATTTAAACTTTTGCATTGCAAACATCATAATTATCATGAATTAATTATATACGAAATAATCTGATGGATCTCTATACTTGTATGCGTTTGTATTAGAAATCTTCTTTCTACTTAACCATTTATCAACGAACCCTTAAACTTATTAAAACAAAATATATTTAACCCCTCTGATCATTGATCATGCTTATGTGACATTAAGATGAATGAGTTGGTGAGAAAGTGTAACCACATGCATGTAAAGGCAAGTGAACAACATATTTAAATTTAAAAAATATAAAATAATAATTTTTTAAAAAAGTCATCTTCTTCCCCTCACTTCATCTGCTTCAGTCATCCCCCACCACCATTTCCGCCCCACCCCAATCCCCCTTTTCAGCCAACTCCCATCACCATTTTAATTAATTCAGTCCAAATAACTTTTAGACGAATTAATAACTCACTTATTTATTTAACTCAATTCATTCTGACTCGCTCAAGCGGAGTCCCACCACCTATTTGTCACCTATACTTGCATACAACATCAACTCCAATAAGGCAATCAACTTGCAAAAGGTTGTTTCCTTTTACCAACTAGGGAATTATCCAGGTTGCTGCCTTTTGTCCTATTATTAGTAATTCTTTTGCGGCTAATTTTACATAATTTTTTCTTGTAATTTTAAATTGAGGATGTTTATCACCTATTATATTAGGACAAATTACTTAACTACACTCCTTTACTTACCTTAATATTCATTTATCCCTACTCATTTCAAAATTTTCAAAAATCCCTTATTTACCTATGTATCCCGCATGTATCCCGTGCACAACGCTATATGTATCCCACTATGTATCAAACGCTATGTATCCCGTGCACAACGTTATGTATCCCACATGTATTCCATGTACAACGCTATGCATCTCGCTATGTGGAATGTATCAAACCTAATGTATCCTGTGCACAACGCTATGTATCTCGCTATGTGGAATGTATCAAACCTAATGTATCATGTGCACAACGCTATGTATCCCACAAACATCATTTTTAAGGGATTTTCGGTAAATAGAAAACTAAAAGGGATATGATGTTATTTAGTACTTATAATATGTGGTTCCTATAATTTATACATTATATTATGCTAAAGAATCAGGTTCTTGTAAGTCATCAAACAATAAGTAAAATTGCGGAAATATACACAATAAAAAAAAATTACCATGAAAAATACCTTACTTAAGGAAGTAAGAAATTGGACCTATTTTTGTAGGAATTGTATCAAATCTCCATTAAAACCTCAATAATTTTAGAATACAACTCTATAATCAAAGAAACTACTTGGTACTTTTCACTTACGATCAAATCAATTGAAACAATCCCTTTCAAGACTCTTCCACTGATCTAGAAAGTAGAAAGCAAAACTTTAACCCTCAAACACCTACTACAATCATATCATATCATATAATATATATATATATATATATATATATAAAAAAAAAGAACTCTAAGCCTGCCTACATGGCACCACCACAAACTAGGATTCTCTTTTAATTATTTATTTCCAAAACTAGCCTTCCGCTTTCATGAAAATTTGCGACTTTTATAAAGAGTTGCGATGTTTATGAAAAGTTGTGACTTTTATGAAAGGTTGTGACCTTTCCGAAGGGTTGTAACTTTTTCAAAGAGTTGTGACCTTTCCGATAAGGCACAATATACATTTGTTCACACTATCCTTTGTTGTCTATAAATAGAGAGATTTCCTCTCAATTTAAAACAACAAAAATTCTAAACTTCTTCTTCTTCTCCACAATTAAATATTCGTGTACTTTGCTCCTATTGAGTGGCTCACTACACTATTATTTTTGTATCAATACACTGGTGAATAAAATCGTTCCTAAGAGGATCTATTCCTTTAAACCTCGGGTACTAGAGGGGAATATTTTCTTAAGGGGACACTATGCATTCAGTGGACTCGATTTTTTCCTTTATGTTTCATTCTATTGTTACTGATTATTGTGTTTTTTTACAGTCATTAATTTATGCTTATGTTATCAATTGTTATTTTTGAGTACATGTTTTATACTTTGTTGCCAGAAAAAGAAGACAAGAATTAATAAACTTTTGACATGGGTTCAAGGATGTGCCGGACGACCTATAGAGGAATATGACTAGACTGGAGCCTCTTTTAATCCCAAAGACGTAGACAATTACATAATAAATTAATTGTTCATATTCAATATGAATTATGGATAGATTCTCAAGTTTACTGCAAGTTGTAAATACTTTTCTTGAAGTAATAGATGTGTTTCTCGACACTGTGATTGGAATAGAAGTGTAGTTTCAAATTGAATTTCATCACTCTAGTATGTTGATTTTTAAAAAACACCCAAACAAACTGAATAGATTTGTGTAATATTTTTTCCTTTCAAGTATATATAATAAGTTGAATTGTTGTCCAATATGATACATTCTCCCTTTAATTTTACATTTTAATAATTACTTATGATACATTTAAATGAGAAACTTTAAAATGATAAGTGTAAAACAAAGGTAGGACTGAACTTTCTACACGTTAGAATTAAAATATTTGTTCATTTTTTTCAGCCTTTTAAAATTTATTTATCCCTTCACCAACGATTATTTATTTATTAGAAAATTTAATATCTCCGGTTGATGTTTATTTGATTCCCAAAAATATCAAATAGTAACACTTCCTGAAAGCAAAAGAATAAATTATAAAATCAAATTAAAGATGATTGATTGAAGGATAAATGATAAGATGTTATAATTATCATCCTCCTTTACATTATTAATGTTTATTACTACTTAATTTTGTATGTAAGATAATATAGTGTTTTTCTTTTAACGAAAGATATATTTTAAGTATTATTTTATAAATTCCGTGTTATGAAATTCCCGTGCGAGGTACGGGTGATTTTACTAGTACTTGTATAAAAAGGACATAGGTTTATAAGATACTCACAAATAAAAGAATCACACATAATCAAATCAAGAACTAAAGCAACGACTTCCTTAAGAACATGTTCTTTTACTAATCAACTGAATATCACAATGAATGTTATTATCAAAAATAAATTTTGTATCTGTGCAAATAGCATCCAACATAATAACATCAATGTGGTGTATTGTACAGGAATAGTGATAGCCAATTTTTTATTGTCTTCTTGCTCCAAAACTCATCGAAACTTGGTTAAGAAATTCAATCCTGTTTGGACTTGGTTCCCTTATTTGTTTCAACGTTCACTCATTATCTCCTAAAACTTTTTTCCTTTTTGCAAATATGACAATATTTTTATGTCGAATTCTTGTTTTTTAATCCACACATTGCATATATGCAATTGTTCATGCACTTGGAATTTGCTTTGTCGCGTCTAATCTATATGGGCTCCATTCATTTGCGAAGGACCTAGTTCTTTCATTACGTGCATAAAACTTGTGTAAATCAGTTAAGACTTGGTTCTTCTGTAGTGGATTGTCAATCATAAACACAACTAGCTAGGCCTATCAAGAACTTGATCAATAGAAACTAATGATATTGACAGTTACATATTTATTTTCATATCATAAAATATGAATCGAGCAAAATTTAGATTGGTTGCGTATTTATATTAAATAACGCTTAATGAATGAAATTTGTAAAGATTGAAGATCGAAAAGACATATCATTCTAATCCTAATTCACCTCAGACTAATTAGTTTATAGTCAGGTGCATATTCATCAAATACTTATATATAATCCCAAATTATATCATTACAAGCTGAGAAAAGCTCATATGTGGAGACAATGGTGGCACCTCAAAAATACCTTTTCCATCCCAAATCGTCGACCAATTTGACGGTGTTAATGGAGCTGCCGCTGTTGGGACTATTCTTTCATCTTCTTCTTTTTTCCTTTCCTTGTTGATTACTAATTGCTCTGTTTCTCTCATCCTTTTACTCTCTGATGACTTTATCTCTGTTTTAAACTCATCATCATGATTTTGTTGCTTGAAGTTAGCAACTTCAAGTGGGAAATTCAATATTGCTTTGCTGCCTCTAAACTTAAACGCTGCCCTGTCATATGCCTTGGCCGCATCCACTGCAGTATCAAATGTTCCTAACCAAACCCGAGTTCCCTTTCTATTCGGATCACGAATCTCCGCTGCAAACTTCCCCCACGGCCTCTGCCTAACTCCCCTGTAATGCTTCTTCTCACTCTCAACTTCCACTTTCTCTACAACAACAGCCTTCGCGGGTATTGCAACGTTCAGAGATGGCTTGTGTTCTTTGAAGTTACTTTGCTTCGGGGAATTCGAACTGATAACATGTGGTTTTGCCTCAATTCGAAAAAACCATCAAACTCTGTTTTTGAGGTTTGAGTAGTTTCAAAAGATAAACAAGTGTTAGAGCAGTAATATTCCATGAAAGCAACATCATCATCAAGAAGATTACTTTTGACAATAGATATGTTGATAATATTTTTATTTATTT